AGTGCAAACAGAATGATATTTATGGTCTATTGCTTTTGTTTCTGTCTTTTTGAGACAGGGTCTCACTATGCAGTTTAGGCTGGCCCTGAGCTCGCTTTGTAGCCCAGGCTGGTCTCGAATTTGCAACAATCCTCCTGCCTCTGCTTCTGCCTCCCGCTGGGATTACGGGAATGCGCCACCATGCCCAGCTGCTTTTTAAAAATTGTATTTTTAATTTTTCTCATTCCCTTGCCCTCTCCTAACCCTTTTCCCCTTCCCATTTACAGATTTGTTTCCCTTTCTTTCTCTATTTTGCCCTCCTTTTTCCTCCTTTCCCCGTTCCCTCCTTTCATTCCCTCCCTATTTGAACATTTTTTTCCTATTTTCCAATATCTAATATATATTTGGGTCCTTATTTACACTTTTGGTTTTCCAAAGCAGAGAAGCAATTTAGTATTTACACATGTATGTCCAATATAATCTATTGTTTATTCATATTATTCCCATTATATAAAATACTTATGCAGTGTACCAATGTACCTATTAATTATAGGCTGCTAAGTTAGATAGAAATTAAAATACAACGAGGGAGGGCCTGGGCCTTCAAGGAGGTCAGCACAGAAAGACTTCAGGGCTGTGGTACAGGTGCGTGAGAAGGTCTCCGCAGGACGGGAAGCCGTAGCCAGCCTGCCTCCCTGGAGACGAGCGGCCGTGTGCAGCTGTGGGACCTCGTGCCACGAGGTCCCACAGCAGAGGCGGACATCAGACACAGGTGGGGAACCAGAGCTCCCGGACCCACACTGCCCTGCTGTCTTTCTGGACTCCCGCTACACGGCCCCTTCTCCTGCTGGATCAGCACGAGCTCCGAGGCTGCACTGCAGCGCTGGAGTTGGCTGCAGCTTGAGCCACACTTTGCTGTGTAAATTACTCCTGGTAAAGAGACTTGGGGGGCAGGGGGCACAGACTCGGGACCCTTCCTGGACATCCAGGAGCTGCTCTTCTTTCCCTAGCTCTCCGGACTGCCTTAGGCTTGTGGCCTCATTCCTCAATGTCCCAAGACCACAAACTGACGTCTAAGGGGTCAGGAGCTACACTTTGCCTTACCAGGATCATGACTGACAATTGTCCTTCTAGTGTCCGTATCTTTCCAATTCCAGTGTATGTCCTGCCAAAGAGAGTGCTTCCTTCTCCTTCTTTTGTTACTGCAGGACTGGGAATTGAGCTCAGTGGCACTGTTTGCCAGGTTTTAATTTTTAATTTTGAAATGGATTCTTCTTCATTTACTAAATTGCCCAGGCTAGGTTTGAATTTGTAATCAGCCTGTTTCAGCCTCCGATAGCGCTGGGATTATACACACTGCTATGCCTGCTTCACATGTGATATTTTCTATTTTTCTATTTTTTCAGTTATGTATTTGGGGGCTGGGGAGATGGCTCAGTAGAATAACTGCTTCCCTGGCAGGCTCAAGGGCCTGAGTTCAATCCCTGGTTCCGCAAAAAAAAAAAAAAAAAAAAGTTATGTATTTGGTATAGGTTCTCATTGCCCAGCTTGGACTCACAGTGATCCTCCCGTTTTCAGCCTCCCCAGGGCTTGGATTACAGGTGTGCGCCACCACGTCCCCACTTGGTTGTTGGCACAGCATGTGAGACTAGGGATTAAACTCTGGTCCCTGCGCTTGCCAAAGCAGGCACTTGGTTTGCTGAGCTCTCTTACTGGCCCCACATTTTATTTCATAATTAAACTTTGTAAAGTGTTACAGTAACTTTGATGTTCCTTTGTTCTTCCAGCCTGAATCCCACTCTATCTATTCTCTGACTTCGAGAAAAAACAATCATAAGTTTAGTGTTTATCTTTCATTTCACTTCTGTCCTATTTCAGGCCGACTTGCGCATGTGTTCTGAAGTCGCCAGGTTCAGAGGAGGAGTCTCCCTGTGCAGCTCTGTTCTAACACATCCACAGGAGCCGGCCACGAATGGTGGGCAGGGGTGTGGGTAGGGGCTCCCCCCGGCAGGGTCTGGGGAAAGGTGTTGCCGGCTGCGTGTTCTTGCAGCAATTTGGTTTCTAGCGATCAGGCCATGTGGGCCATTGTTAGAATTGGGTTTGGTTAGAGGACAAAAGATCAAGGAACAGTGGACTCGACGAGGTACATCATGATTTTCTGTCTCCGTGTCTTCCTCTTTCTTTCTAGACAGGTCTTGCAGGCTGGATTTGGAGGTGATCCTCCTGCTTCTGCCTCCCGAGTGCTGGGACTAGTGTGCGCCTCCCACCTGGCTGGTGCACGCTCACTTCTCACGTGGACACTCTTACGGAGGCAGCCCGAAGCTGTTGGAGGTGTGCAGCATCACCAGCAGCCTGCTACTGCTGTCACGTCCTCACACACTGCACCAGCCAACAGCCTTCTGGAGCTCCAGCCTTTGTATCCTCTTTGCAGCTGTTAGGAGGAGGAAAGGAGGAAGAGGGCTGCTTTTCTCTCAGGGTTGTGTCCTTACATGCAGATGTGTTTTTGCTCATGTAAGGGCAGAAGGGAAGTAGTCTTGATTTGGCCGTCAGTTTCCACAGAGACGTGGAGGTTCTTCCCGCAGGGGAGGAGGGGAGAACAAAACACAGAGGGAGGGTTCTGCAGGGTCTGTTTCAAATCCTTTCAAGTGGGAACGTCCTTTTCTGCGTGAAGAGCCAGCTGAAAACGGGCAGAGACTTTGGCCACTTCCTAGGCAGAACCTCTCCACCCTCTGGAGTTCCAAGTGCAGACCACACAGGGCACCCTGCCTGGGGAAGGGCTGGAAATTGGGGGGCTGGAAGGTGAACTCCCGAGAGGCTGTGCGGTGTCCAGGGTGCAGCTCTGTGCAGAAGGCCGAGCTGCCCTTCAGCTCTAGGGCGACACAGAGGCACTGCCAGAGGCTGAGCTGGCTCCCTGGAGTCGCGCCTCTGTGTCTGAAAGCTAGGCTTTTTGTTTGAGAAAGAAAAGTTTTCCCAAGTCCTTGCCGCTCTCATAGACTGAAACCTCTGGGGGCCAGAGCTGGCCCGAGTGGGTGAACGGCGTGGGAGGCCAGCTGCAGGGCCCAAGAAGGTGATGTCCAGCAGGCAGGACACGCTGCCTGGGGTGGGGACTGACTGAGACCCATCTGCCCTGGGCTTCCCGTAGTGAGCAGTGGGCCCTGGGTGCCTGTCACTGCTGGGCCAGGTGTGTCGTGGGCATGAAGCCTCCCAGAGAGGCAGGGAGGAAGGACTGAAGGGGTCTGGTGTCTGCTTGGCCAGGTGGCCTTGTCTCTGGTAGGCTCTTCCTGGTTGCAGGCAGAAATTGGAGTCACCAGGGAGGCCCGGGGGGCTGGGGGAGGCAGCACACTGGCCTTGGTGAGGAGGAACAGGGACAAACTGTCACTGCTCTCTGGAGAAAATGAGGGGAAGAGGACTGTCCCTGAATGAGCCCAGCAAGAGGCTGGGCCTGTGGTTCTGCCCTGCAGTGGCCCTGCAGAGCTTGCGTGACCTTCGCTTTAATAAACTGCTCAGCCAGGGCTGGGCTTGGCCTCCACAGCTTGGCGGGGCCAGGCCAGGCTCCTGGAGCCCCACAGGCCCCCTTTGTGAGGGGAACTGGGCAGGCCAGTGTGCCAGCTGGAGGCCAATCGCAGCCCGGCTGAAGCATGTTGGAGAGGTGGTGCAGCTGCTGGGTGGGTGGTAGTGGCAGGACCCGTTCCATAGGACAGCGTCCTTGGGCCCTGTGTCCAGGCCTCCTTAGAAAGGGTCCGCCACCATCTGGCTTCCTGAGTCCTGCTAGGCTGGCCTGGACTCCCTGCAGCCCGGGAGAAAGGAAGCCCTGCCCCCAGGCCGCACTGTGTTCTACAGTGCTGAGGCCCACAGCCCCTGGCCCTGGGGTCAAGATATTGAAATGTGCAGGGTGTGGTGAAGAACACCTGTAATCCCAGCACTCGTCAGGCTGAAGCTGCAGGACTGTTGTGAGTTCAAGACCAGCTTGGGCTACAAAGTGAGCTCAAGGCCAGCCTGAACTGCGTAGTGAGACCCAGTCTCAAAACAATTAAAAAAAAAAAACAACATGTTGAAATGCATCTGATCACAGCAAAGAGATCTTGTAAGAGACAAGTGTGCTGGGTGTGGGGGCACAGCCCTGGAATCCCAGCCCCAGGGAGGCCGCGGCTGGAGGATTACGAGTTTAAGCCCAGCTTGAGCAATTTAGGTGAGATCTTGTCTCAAAACAGTAGAAAAGACTGGGGATGTGGCTTGGTAAGAGCACCAGTTGTAAAAGAAACTCAAACCAAAACCAGACCCAAAACACCAATGCTCAGACAGATGACAAGAGGTTGTGTGGTACAGGAGACAGAAGGTGTGAGGAAACCCTCGGTCACACAGCCCTCTGAAGACGGCGCTGGCTGGGGCTGCTGGAAACGTGGTTGGAGCGGTCTGGAGGGTGACTTTTGTCAATATTAAGCTTGGGATATGCTAACAGCTGCATCCTGCAGCCGAGTGGGGCTCCTGGAGACACACAGCAAGGACTTGGCAATAGTCTGATGAGCACAGCCTGTGTGCCTGCGTGCAGCCAGGTGGCAGCGTGAGCCCTGGGCAAGGCAGGGGAGGAAACCCCACCTCTGGGTGACTGTGGGCCGAGCCTGAAGACGTGCAGATCCAGCCCCTGCGGGGCTGGGATGTCACCGTCACCATTACTGCGTGTGCACAGGTTGAGCCCTGAGAGGTGGCTGGATCGGATCACAGGATAGGTCTGCGACTGGGCCTTGGCCTCAGACCAGAACACACACTTGTGCTCAGAGGGCGTCCAGGGTTGCAAGGCATCCCCCATGTGGCCCCTCCACATGGGCTGGGCCCAAACTGTGAATCTGTCATGTGAAGTTGTTCCGAACTAAACTGGAGGGGAAGAGAGGCCACTGCACATGCGAACCCAGCGCACGGCCGTCCTGGCAGCCTCTAGCTCGCTGGCATCGTCTTCTGGAACGGTGTGATTAGTACAGGGACACAGTGTGGACAGTGACACGGCACAGACCACAGCACACAGCGGTCCTTTTCGGGTTTATTTCATTTGCTAACATTCATTCTCAACCTAGACAGAAACAATTAGGTGATTATGACCTGCTTCTCCATCAGCAACTCATGTTTTTGTAAGAATAACCAAAAGATTTCTTCTCAACACCTTTTTTTTTCTTTTTTTAATAAGAAGCTATAAATAAATAAAGCTTTAAACGCTCCTGGGTTCAAGTGAAACAGTTCCAGTTCCCAAAACGTTCACAGACTTGTTGCTTGGACATTTCTGCTGTCCCTGGCTCCCTCCTAGGGAACCTGTCCTGGAAAGGGCAGCTGCAGGTCCACAGAGCGCCAGGTGACTGCTGTGACCACCGGGCCCTGGGGAGGGCCATGGGGTGGGAGCAGAGTTGCAGAGTAGGGAAGGGGTCGCCCTGTCCTGTGATGTCCTGGGAGACGCTGTGGGCACAAGGAAGCTTCGCCCCAAAGCACGTGGCCAGAGTGGGCAGTGCTGGCCGGACAGCTGAGGGCTGAGGATGGTGCTGGCCAGGGGTGGGACTGTTTTCCAAATGTAGCCAAGAGGCCGAGCAGAGACCCGTGCTTCCATGTGCGTGGGGACAGCAGGGCATAGCTAACAGGTACTCGATATGTACAAGAGGGCCCGCACTCATGCTGGCCCTGGAAGCTCCACTCCTGGACAAGAGGCCACAGCACCCCACCCGCCTGAGAACAGACCCGAGGGCGCCCCAATGCTCCCCTCCTCTCAGGGGCACACCCAAGTGCAGAGTACCAGAGCCCAGCCTCCTGGCATGGCATGTCTGCCCCTTACCAGAACCACCGCACTTGCTTGCTAGTGTGCCCACATCGCTGGTATGACTGCTGGCCAAGGGGCAGCACTGGGCTGTGCTGTCCCCATGCCACACCCATAGTGCCTTGGGACCCCAGTGTAGAGGACAAGCGAAGATGAAGCTGCTCCTTCTAGAGCTATGGGAGTTGCCTGCCTCCTGCCATGGTGACTGACCCTTCACTCCATGGTGGGGGCCCAGTGAGGTGACAGCAGGAGGACCCTGTCCTGCCACATGGCCAACATGTGGCCTGTACCCTCCCAGGGCCAGGGTGCTCATCCCTCTGTGGTGGGCTACTAGGCATCCTGGAGCCCGGAGATGGGGCACAGGGCAAGTGCTTCCAACAGATACGCAAATGGCTTCTAGCAGGCCGCTGGCCAGCCTGTGCGGGGGTCAGGGAAGTGTGGGGGAGGCTGGGCTGCGAGGGTGGCTCACATGGGTTAAGGAGGCCGTACCCAGGCAGGAACCTGAGGGTCTGAGGTCCCTTCCTGGCCACCAAGAACCACCACAGCCAGGGTAGAGCTCACAGGCAGCAGCTCTGTTCCCAATCCGTGACAGAGCCTGATTGTAATTTTTGGCCTGGGGTCACGGGAATGGAGGTCTCTGAGCCCTTGAGTAAAGGTTCTGGTGATGGGAGGTGGGGTGAAAGGTCAGGAAAAACAGGGCATGAGGAAGCCCTGCTGCCCACCCCCTAACTGCCAGAGCCTCTGGTGGGCACCCCAAGGCCAAGCCTCACCGTGGGTTGACCCACAGGCTGGTGAGGAGCGTCAGTGTTCTGGGGACGGGATTAGGGTAGACTGCCTCAAGTGGTGACCCTGGCCTGGTCAGCCACCGGTGGCTGAGCTCAGAGCTCCTGTTCTGAGGCCCCCAGAACTACCGTGTTCCTGGGGAGGTGGCTACCCAGGACTGGGACAACAGGGGCCCCAGGGGCCGTGGGGTGCTCGGTTGGCTCTGGGAGCTGGCCTGCTGCCCCTGCTGAGCCACACAGCAGGGGTGAGCGCAGGTATGTGCATAGCTGGTGTGGGGCCGGCGCCTGGCCCCACTCATCCTCTCTCCAGTGTCTTTGTTCCTTTTCCAAACCATTAGCTGATGTGCCCGTGAGGGAGAGGGGCAGCAGGAACGCCTGCTGCTCCACACACCACCCCCCATGCCACCACAGCTGGGGCATCTTTCCAGCATGCTACCCTCTGCCCCCAACCCCATTCCCAGGACACATCTGCCTCTGGTGAGTGGGTGTGGGGTCTCCCAGCAGTTTCAGGTGGGCCCCTCTGCATGTAGGGCCATGACCCGTTTCACTCTGCCCCATGAGGCCTCCCCGCAGCCGCCGCCACTACCACTTCTCGATGATGTGGCTCATGTAATCCTCAGTGGGCACACGTCCCGGCTCCTCGGCGTCCTCGCCCGGCAGCGCCTCCTTGGCGCGGTGCAGCAGGCGCTCCTCGCGGCTCCGGAGGCGCTGCTCCCTGCGCTCCAGCTGCCGCTTGTACTGGTAGCGCTGCTGGAAGAGGTCCTTGGCGTAGTCGTAGAGCTGCATGTCCAGGTCATTGAGCTCCTCGATGCGCCGGATGGTGTCCTCGTCCACCTCCACGCCGCCTGCCCGTGTGCTGTTGTACTGCATGAAGGGCCGGATGAACTTGAGGTTGAACGTCCGCTCGAACAGGTACTGAGTCTTGCGCTGGAACTCGGTCAGGCCGAAGAAGGCCATGCCGCGCAGGTTCTTCTTGGCGCTCTCCAGCAGCAGCTGGGCGCGCTTGCCCTCGGGGATGAAGGACAGGTTGTAGCATCCCACCAGGCTCAGGTCGGCCAGCATGCGCACCTGGCGGTTGTTGGCCAGGTTGTAGGGGCAGTCCATGAACTCCTGCAGCGTGCAGCCTGACCAGTCCGTGCCCTCGTAGCAGGGCGGCAGCTCCTCGGGTGTGGGTGTGCGCCCGTCACACATGTGTAGCGAGGTCTTCCACGTGGCCCCGCGCTGCACGTGCCGCCACTCGCTCAGGTAGCGGGACACAGGGTCCCGCAGAAGGGTGATATAGTAGAACTTCCTGCAATGAGAGGGAGAGGGGAGGTGAGGAGTGATGGGGCATGACGGCCAGTGCCCACTACATGCACGTCCACTGTGGGACCCTGAACGGTAGCTTCGCCCATACCCACTGGTGTGCTCAGCTCTTATACCAGAGACACGCAGGAACCAGCCATGGGTCCACGGCTGCCAGGTGTGTCCCCCAACAGTGCCCTGCAGCGCCAGCCCTCAGCTCCCTATGCCAGCCGGCTCCTCAGGAGGGACAACTCCGACATTCCCCTGCTGGGAACATGGAGCTGCCTGTGGTGCGGGGGCTTCTGCTTCCCTTCCTGCCCCTTTTCCTGAGAGCAAGGAGAATGTCAGGGAAGGAGCCCTGTGGGGCTGAACCAAGAGGAGCTACCCCCTTGGGAGTGCCGGGGGCCAGTGGCAGGGCTGCCCGGTGGCTTGTTAGCTACCAGTGAGTGCCGGGGGCCAGTGGCAGGGCTGCCCGGTGGCTTGTTAGC